GGCTAACCCAGCTGTCTAGCCGTACTTAGCCAACCAGTCTAGCCGTACTTGACTAGGCTGCCAGTCTAGCCGTCATTAAGTCAATTACGGCTAGCCTCTTCCTTCTGAAAAACGCCTGGGACTTAGAAGTCGAAGTTGTCCTATTAGTATTAGGCTAAGCTAAATGAAAATGTTGCTGTTTGTACCAGGCCAAAGAAAGCATTATAGGCTAGATCTATATTTATATGATGACCTTTACTTATAGGTCAGCATTATACGCTATTTAATAATACATTCGTCAGATTTGGAATCTTAAATTATAATCATAATTATATGTGCCCAAGGGAAAGGCTTCCGTAACGAGAAATCATCCCATTAAGTACAATAAAGAAGAGACCTAACCGTAACCCTGATCCAACTTCTAACCCTACCCATACCCAAACTCCAACCCTCTGTTCTACTCTGTTTCATAGTAGTCGCTCGTTACGGAATTTCTCCTGTTGTCAAGATCTACATCGCACAACACGTGTTGAATTAGGTAAGCTAAAACTTAGTCCCGCAAAACAAAACCACTCTCTCAGCTTAAGAAATTACAATTACAATGGATGGCTGTACGACAATTTCAAAGTTAATTAAAAGTTGTTGTTTTTAAATCTTGCATAATTACAAACCCTAGAGATTCAGGCATTCTTCAAGATGTTATATTCATACTTGCTGGATCTGGGTAATAAGCTAGCATCTACGTTTGTCCCGGCGGCCACCCGCGATTTTTGGCAATTTTTGGTCCGCAAATTTGCATTAAAATAAAACCCCCCACAAAAACACAAAAAGCCACAAAAAACAAACCCAAAACAGAGAATAAAAAAAAAGAAAAAAAAAGAAACCGACCCTCTTTATTTTTTAGAAAGAAAGTTTAGCCTATGTTCATTACCGTGAATGTGTGAGTAAAATGTATGCGAGTCTGTTCTGGTGGTTGTTCTTTTCAGAATGTCAATAAACATTAGTTCTGTTTTAGGCCCACTGTACTAAAGGAGTTCGT